ATGTTACAGCCAGTGCAGACAGGGGGAACCAGAGCAGTCCGTACGTTTTCATCCTCCAAGGATTCCCTGGCAATTGTTATTTTCAGGTCTCCCTCTTCATGCTCTTCCTCTTCATGTACATCCTGACAGTGACAGCAAATGTCTCCATCATACTCTTAGTGAGAACTCACCCACAACTACACACACCCATGTACTGGTTTCTCTGCAACCTCTCTTTCCTGGAAATATGGTACACAACAGCTTGTGTCCCTACAGCCCTGGCAGTCCTCTTGGAGAAAAGTCAGGCAATCTCCTTCCTTAGCTGCCCCCTACAGATGTACTTTGTTTTCTCCCTGGGCTGTACAGAATATTTCCTCCTGGCTGTCATGGCCTATGACCGATATTTGGCCATATGCTACCCACTGCACTATAGCTCCATTATGAATGGCACCTTGTCTGCTCAGCTGGCTCTTGGCTCTGTGGCTTTGTAGCTATTTCTGCCCCAGCATATTTGATCTCCAGGCTGTCCTTCTGTGGACGTAATAGCATTAATCATTTCTTTTGTGACATAGCCCCATGGATAGTTCTCTCCTGCACCGACACACATTTAGTGGAGCTGGTGGCCTTCATCATCTCATTCATTGTCATCCTGGGCTCATGCGCAATAACTCTGGTATCCTACATTTACATCATCTCCACCATATTGAGCATCCCATCAGCCAAAGGGCGCCAAAAGGCCTTTTCTACTTGTTCTTCTCATCCGATTGTCGTGATTATCTGGTACAGCTCCACCATTTTCCTGCATGTCAAGCCTTCCATAAAGGAATCACTTGATTTGACCAAAACTGTCCACGTACTAAACACTATTGTCACTCCAGTGCTGAACCCCTTTATCTATGCTTTGAGGAACAAAGAGGTGAAGGATGCTGTGAGAAAAGTGGTCAGTGCGGCATGACTCATTCTCTCAAAATGTTGCTGTCAGTAGATAAACAATATTCTGTTTGATGACATTTTTATTGTCCAAGTGCTGATATCCCTTATTCTCAGAAGTCACTATGACCTCAATGTGCTAGAAAATAGGGTGTCACGCCTGGGGAGGTGGGGTCCTGTAGACCCGGCTCCATTTCCAAGCCTATTGCAGAGGAAGTCTGTGACCTGGCCAAGGTGCTCCAGTTCTCTGTACCTATTTTTGCCATCCACAAGCTAGAGATAATGGTGCTGGCTTCATTTTCTTAAAGTTTTCTGGACTCTACTAAGGAAAAGTGTCTGATTGTGTTATGATCTCCCTTCAGCTCCCCTGAAAATCCAATCCATTGTCATAAGTACTGTCTAGGTAGCAAGTGCTCTGGTTACCCACAGCTGTCATCTTCCTATCTATCAAAGAACTGGAAGACAGTGTAACTACTGGCTCATATATTTAAAAGTAACCGAGGCTCCTTTAAACATTCAGTCCAACTACTGAGTAAATATCAAGCACGGTAAAAAGATAAAGAAATCTGTGATTTGGAAATAATGTTGAGGGCTAAGGACAGAAGTTACACACAGACCGGTTTAAGTGATCAGAAACTGGTTTAAACCTGTAACAGAACATAAGTGCAATGCACATAAGCCAGGTTCAAAATGGCCCAAACCAGTTTGAGATAAACCTGGCTGAATGCAGTATCAGACTTAACTGATGGAGCTCAAACGGGTTTATGCAATTTCTGTCCCAGACCTCTTCCTGGTTAAGTTAAACCAGAATCCCCCAGCATCCCAGCATGCTCTCTGGGCTGAATTGTGCTCTCTGCTCCAGCCAAGCAGGGCTGGCCCTGTCCCTTTGCTCCCCAGCCAGAGCAGGGACAGGCAGGGGTGGGGGCCTGGCCAGACGCTGGCCCTGGAAGGCCAGGCCTGGAAGAGTTTTATTCCACTTCTCCCTCCCCTGTCCCACCAGCAGGACCTCCCAGGCATTTCTCCCTTGCTGCTCCAGTGCCCAGCCCCAGCAATAGCCTGGAGTGACCTGGCCAGGGAGGGGGTTTAATTCCTCCCTGTCCCACCAGCATGGACCCAAGCTGGGGTCTACCAGGCGCCGCCCCCTTGCTACTGCAGCGCCAGGCGCAGGAGCACGGCCAGGCCTGTTCCAGACTTGTTCCAAAGA